CAGTCACTGGGGAGGAGGGCACCTCCCATCCACGAACCCACACAGTCATGACACCTTCTTCCCCAAAGAAATTAATTTGGCCTCAAAGCACCAGAACTTGGGGCTGGGGGATGGCTCAGTGCAATAAGTGCTTCCCTGGCAAGCGCAAGGACTGCTCCAAGGTGAGCGCTGGCCAGTTTAAGATGCAGTAAAAAGACGCCCTGCTTGACAACTAAGCATGCTGCACGTAACCGGGAAAAGAGAAAACCTAGACCCAGAACTTTCGGCTACTGACACTTACTTAGGCAGCTGGCTGAGGAGGGAGGCCCGAGGGCCTGGCCTGGCCGTCCTGTGCTGCACAAAGCCTCCCAGGTCAAGGATTCCGCCACATCAAACACTTCCTCAGCGGGGTGTTCAGCCGCTGACCAGCGCAGCGCCGCTGCTTACAGGCAGGCCGGGTGTGTGTGGCTTCAGCTATCCTCAGGCCACTGGATGTGGGGGTAGAGGAGAGGCTAACAGGAAGGGATCTGTGGAGGACCTAAACACCCCAAGGCACCCAGGTCTTTATCACAGGAAGTCTCTCCCCAGCCCTAAGAGAATAATATCAATAAAAATCACTGTACACGTTTATATAGTACACAGACACAAGGCATGTTCATTACTGAAGTTTTCCAAAACACAGGTAGACACAAAATGGCCTCTAATCACCTAACCCCCAGATAAACACATTGTGTGCCCATTTGCTCTCTTGTCCCGGAACTGATCTCTGAATCTGTCAAAGGTATTTGGATATTGCATCCTGCAGCCCCCCCCCCCAAGCACCCTGAAAGGAGAGTGCTGGCTGCCTTAGGGGGTCTGTGCAGCAGGGGAACAGTGAGGTTAAGGGTGGCGGCGCACACCTGTGATCTCCGCTCTCAGGAGGCTGAGGCAGGAGGATTGCCAGGAGTCTGAGGCCAGCCTGGGCTCCACAGTGAGTTCAAGGCCAGCCCGAGCTATACAGCATTACCCTGCTTCAAAAACAAAAGAAAATGAACACCTAAGAAATTTCACTTTCATGTCAGGCAAATTAACTGAGACCAGAAGCTAGGAAGTTTTTCCCCTCCCTCATTTCAAAGGCCACCTTCAGGGAACAGGCACAAGCAAAAGCCCACTGGAGAAGGGGGCCACCATCAAGGCCATGCCCATGAAATGACACGTGGCCACCACACTGTCACATGCAACAGAACAGAAAGGTGCCAGATTGCAGGATCCAGCCAGAGGCAGGCAGAATCCAGGGGCAGGGGTGGGAGGTCAGTGGCTCCTGTGGGAAGGCCCAGCGTCTTCCCGTGGGGACTTCATTCAAACTCCGTGCAGAGCCCTGCAGGCGGGGTGCTCATTTCCACCCTGAAGGAAGCTGGCAGGGGTTTGCACAGCTGTAGTCAGGGCTTGTGACCCCGGGGAAAGCACTCGCTCGCACAGGCTCAGGAGCCAGGGATCGGGAAGGTAGCGAAGGGACGCCAGGAACACTGCCCAAGGACACTGCCATGCAGGGAGTGTGCTTATTTGCCAGTCCCCAGGGGTGGGGTGGGAGCAAGCTTTGGGGGCACCCAGAGGGGCTGGCAGGAGGAGGGTGCTGAAGAAACCAGGCCAAGTAAGAAGGGCATCACTTCCTCAGCGCAGTGTGGAGTCAGGATCCAGAGCTAGGCTGGAAGTTCGCAGGAAGAAAGAACAGATAAAGAGAACTGGGTCAGCGCAGGGATATGACAATGTTTTTCTTCAAAAGGAAATGGCATGAGCCCAATACGTGTGTGACATGTCCACCTGTACTGCTAAGATAAGTCAATTAAAAACAGGCTTTTGGGGGCCCTACTCATGGATCTAGCAATTCCACTTAAAAATTTTTTTAAGCCAGGTGTGGTGGTGCACACTTGTAATCCCAGCACTTGGGAGGCTGAGGCAGGAGGATCGTTTAGAGTTCAAGACCAGCCTGGGCTACAAGGTGAGCTCAAGGCCAGCCTGAACTGCACAGTGAGACCCTGTCTCAAAAAGACAAAAAAAAAAAAAAAAAAAAAAAAAAAAAAACCATACATTTATCATAAAAATACAACAGGGGGATGTTACACACACAAAAAAAAAACTAATACAAATAATATACTCCTTTAACAGGGAAGCAGTATAGGTAATTTTTAAATTTGTATTTATTTATTTGGTACAGGGTCTCACTACGCAGCTCATATTCATAGTGATCCTCCTGTCTCAGCCTCCCCAGTGCTGGGATTACAGGCGTGCAGCGCCACCCTTGGTTTCAGTGGCTAGCTTGGCCCCCTGGTGTTCTAGACCTGGCACAGCATGGTACCAGGATCAAACTCGGGTCCTTGCACATGTGAGGTAGGCATTTAGACTGCTGAGCTGTCTCCCCAGGCCAGTACAGGTATTTTGTGTGTGTGTGTGGGGGGGTCCTGTTGCCCACATTCTGCATCAAATATTTGTTATTTTTGTAGTGAGATAACATAGCTTCAGATACAAACAGGTTGATTAGATCTGGGATTTTTCAACAATCGGACACTAAGTCCTTTGCGTCATCTAGGGTCTAGCAATAAATTACTATGTTCCATCCCTGCAATCATTTCTTCTTTAGCAGAGGCAGGTAGGTAGCCCAGGAGAGGGACACATGGTATTTGCTCTGTGCTCATCATCTCAAAATGCACCTGTTTCTTAGCTCCTTTTCACATGACATAACTGAACAACAAAGTATCCAGCCCCAGCATGTAGGAAGGGAAACTACACACGATCAGGTGCCACCTTTCATCTCCACTCCACTTTTTTTTTTTTTTTTTTTTTTGAGACAGGGTCTTGGCTAGCCTTGAACTTGCTTATGTAGTCTAGGCTGGTCTTGAACTCATGGCAATCCTCCTGCCTCAGCCTCCTGAGTTCTGGGACTCCAGGCATACGACACTGTGCCCAGCTCCTACTTCAATAACTGCTAAGGGGCCGGGGAGATAGCTCAGTGGAATAAGCGCTTGCCTGGCAAGTGCAAGGGCCTGAGTTCAATAAAAAAGAAAAGAAAAGAAACTGCTGAGCTGTGTGTCTGTGGCAACTGGGGAAAGGACCCTGGGTCTCTACCAGGCACTGTGTTTATCTGCAAACTTCTCATTCGACTGCAGATGCTCTTCCACAGCCGGATGTGGGCTCCAAGAATCAAGGCAGGTTAGGTCCCCAGGGGGGGTGTGACGACTCATGATCTCTGCTTCCGGGCCAAGCACCCAAAGGCCCTGAACTCCTGCGGGGGCCTCAGATGGCCAGCAGGGCTACCGCTGTGTCCTCATGAGCCTTGTAAGACATTCAGAGCGGAGGAAACCAAAGCCAGCCCAGGGGAATGTGGAATGCTGCTCAGTAAGTCTCGCTGCTCGTCCGCCCTGATCCTTGACCCTAAAGGCAACGAAGTGTAAGTTGTTATTTATTCAAACTGCCACTTGCGCCTGTTGAAATGTTGCTACTGACCGCAGAGAGAACATGCTCGGTGCTGAAGGTGCTTCCTGTCAAGGACAGATAATTTTAATTGTTCCACTAAGCTCACCCTCAAAGTAAGGTTGACTGCTATTCAGCAAGATGGTCCGCATTAGTGGAGGCTTTAACTGAGTGCAGATCTGCGATCCCAAAGCATGATGTTTGTTGTACACATACTTGGGGATGAGTTTTAAAAAAAGAAAGAAAGAAAGAAAACTAGACGTTTTTGAGGAAAAGTGGAGAGCAGGTTGTATCCTGCACCCAGGGCCGGCTGGGGGTACAAGACAGCTGCACCCTCTCCACATTGCAGCTCCCACGGGAGTTCTCGCAGATGTTTCTGAAGGCTCAGCGCCTGGGTCCAGCTTTCCCTTTCTCCAACACTTGGCCCCGCTGTGGTTCCTCTCCTGGCAGACAAAAAACTCCACGAAGCCAGGAAGACACACGGGTACCCTTGGAAAAGGGCCCAGCTGTTTTTGGTACAGCGCGCCCCCTGTCGGTTGATGCTGGCATCAACACGGTCACTTCCCTGTTCATAGTCTTTTGCTAGTGTCCCTGAGACAGGCCTGCAGCTGAAGCATAATGTCACTTCTGTTCTCTTATTTGTGACTTCGGAGCCCTTCTCTGAGCTACAGGCTGGTCTTGGTGCCTCTGAGAGATGTCTGCTCAAAGTCAGCCTCACCATCTTTCCTCAAATTCTGTCTGAAGCTCTTCTTGACCCCCAAATATAGACCTGGCATCCAAGTGCTCCCAAGATCAAACCCCACGCTCCCTCTCCAAATCTTTCTCTCCTCAAAGCTCACATCTTGGGCTCTAGCCAGGCCAGTGTCCTGTCCCCACCCCATGCCCGATCACCGAAAGCCCTGCTACGGTACCACCTGGTCCTAATCCCCCTCCGCCTTGCCTCCACAGACCTAGCTGCTTCTGGGTTTTTCCCTTCCCTAGTCCCTGTCCACTCACCAACTAGACTGAACAGTCTACAAAGGGAATAACGCTCACTCTTCCTTAAAGCCCTCTAAGGCTCAGAGTAAGATCCAGCCCAGAGAACCACCACGATTCTGGCCCTGCCCCCAAAGCTAAGCCACCTCGCTGCCGGCTGCAGGAACGCCTCCAAAATCAGTTCAATCCGCGGGGTACTCAAATAGCTGTCCTCAGAACAGCACTTTGCCCTACGAGGCGAGACTAACGCAACGATTTCACACCCACACTGTGTCCACCGAGGTTGCCCAGCTCAAATCCTTACAGGGAAAAACCAGCCTTACGCCCTTCTTTCTAGTCCTGGCAGAGGCTAGAATCAATCTTTTACATCTTATTGCTGGTCCTTGCGCTCACAATGCAGTTCTAGCTGCCCTAATGGTGACCACAGCCCGCACACCCTACTCCCCTCCCTTCTCCAAACTCTGAACGGCGGGCAGCCTAGGGGTCGGGTGGCCTAGGGGTCCTCAGAACAAGGCTCTGGGCTTCCTCGCGGTCCCTTTCCCTTGGGACCTGAAGCTGGGTGGCACCCTCCGCGCGACCCACTTATGTTCCTTGCCCAGGGCGACGGCTCTGGATCGCTATGGGCTGCAGAAAGCGGGCTTCACGCACGTGCTCAACGCCGCCCACGGCCGCTGGAACGTGGACACCGGGCCTGACTACTACCGCGACATGGACATCGAATACTACGGCGTCGAGGCGGACGACGTCCCCACCTTCGACCTCAGCGTCTTCTTCCAATCCGCAGCAGCCTTCATAGACGCCGCGCTCCGGGATGACCACAGTAAGGGGCACTTGCCCAACCCCAGACCACGCCCCCAACCTGAGACCACACCCCAACCCCAGACCACGCCCTAACCTGAGACCACACCCAAACCAGACCACGCCCCATTCCAGATCCCCCATTGAGACCACACCCCAATCCGTGGTTGGGGCGCCCCAAAATCTAGGCCATTGGAGGGGGCATCTGTGTGGTTCTCAAACCTGGTACACTGGGGTAACTTGTGGCCAAGCAGAAGGTGGCTGAGCCTGTGGTGATTTGGGGTATGAGGATGTGCTGCGCCTGTGTGTTGCTGGTGGGGCTCTGGTCTTGATGGGAACTGCAATTGGAGGGTTAGAGGAAAGAAGGATCTTGGTCTGAATTCCTAAGGAATTTTAGTCATCCTTTAAAAGGCAAGGGGGGGGGGAGAGGAGGAGGCCTGAGGGTCTCCAAGCTGGGAGTTCAACCTAGATGCAAATTGTGCCTGGCCCCAAGCCGGATTCAGCACAGGGTTGTGAAGCCAGAAAACATCCAGAGAGCTGAATTACAGGGGAATGCACGGGGAGATTTTAAATTGGTCTAGAAACCAGCCAGAATGCAACCCAGCCCCAGCCTTCCCCAGGAACTCTCCGTGCAGCAAGACCTCGGGTAGAAAGCTGACAATCTTCACTAAACCATATTCAAGAACCTGGGATTTGTATCCAGATTATTGCAGTTTTCCAGCATTACTTGTCAATCTTTTAAATCTCAGTGCTGGTCCTTGCGCTCACAATGCAGTTCTAGCTGCCCTGATCCAGGAGGGGTGCTAGGTTGCTGTGGAGAGAAGAGCCCAGCGGAGCTGTGCGCAGTGTGCAGGCTCAGACAACACAAGTACTGCTGCCGGGGCAGAGTTGAGAGCATTCTTCCAAGGCCTGAGGGGCTACAGCTACCTAATCCGTGCTCTGACTTCAGCCCTGCGTGGACCAATCGCATAACTCAGGGTGTCCTGTTACTGGGAGCCTTTCTAGCTTCCAGAAGTTGGGATGTCCAGGTTTGATGACTGACCAACTGACCTGCTTTAGGAACCTGCAGCCTGGGGCTGGGCCTGGACCATTCTGCGGGATAGTCCCAGACCTCAGCCGTCATCCCAGAGTGGCCCTGACCCCCCCCCTGCCAGCCATAGACACCAACAACTTGTCATTTTAAGGCTGAAAGGCAAAGGCACAGCGAATACCTCTCCAAGCCGCTGTATTGGCTTAGAGGACGCCTCCCTCCTAAATCAGTTTAGTAGAGTTTGTTCAGGACAACCTTTTGTGTCCTGTGCATTCTGGGTTCCCAAGTGGGGGGCCAAACAGCAGCTGGATGCCGACTTGATCAACAAGAGGCAGAATTTACCTCCCAGCGCTTGGAGTTAGCTAAGAACAGGTTGGACGTGGAGATCAGAAACCTTGCCTCGTGTCTTAGCCCGGTAGGGAAGTGGACCTTCGAGGAGGCAGGGCCGGGTTCATAGTCGCTTCACCGAGTCGCAAAGGATGAAACCCAGAGCCTTGGCGTCTCGGCGCAGTAATGGGAATGTTCACCTTGGCGATTCTAGTGCGCAGCAGCAATACGCAGAGCACAGGCCCGGACGTGCAGCACGCTGGGGATGCCTTCGATAAGGGAGGGCGTGGACCTCAGCTCGCGACTGCCAGCCTGTGTGCACACCATCCCATACAGCTTCGGGTCCTAAAAGCAAAAGGGGGGGGGGCAGGAGACATTCCAACTTTGAACTCATAGGACACTCCCGAGAAAGCCTGCATTAGGTTCCCGGCACATCATTCTGGAGGCTGCCCCCACCGCCAGATCCGGAGACTCAGGCTCAGCAGCCAGATGTTTACGCCCGGGAGATCACAGAGCCTCTGTGAGGTGGTGCCAGGCTGGTGTGGATGGTGGCGCCGCACCAGGTGGGCGAAAGCATGCAGCGAAGAAAGGATCAAGACTGAACAGGGCAGCGGAGCACAGCGGTGCACGCCTGGAGCCCCAGCACTCGGGAGGCTGGGGCAGGAAGCTCACTGGGAATTTAAGGCCAGCTGGGCCACATAGTGCGTAGGCCAGCCCAACATGCATAGCAAAGCCCTACTGGCTCAGTGGAATAAGTGCTTCCCTGGCAGGTGCAAGGGCCTGAGTTCAATCCCCAGTTCTGCCAAAGAAAAAACTTTCTTTTTCAGGCCAGGGCCTCAAAATCCCAACTGTTCAGAACCAGGCAGGCAACCTGTGAATGGATGGGGTGTGGTGGGGTGCTTGTGGCTCAGCAGAGAGCCCCAGGTCCCCATTCCAGGGGGTGGCTGGTGCTCAACAGCAAGTGTTTCCTGTAAAGGTGTGGACTCGGCAGGACTTCTGACTTTTCAGGAAGTCTCTGATGTGGATTTTACTCTAAGATCAACCACGTCTTAGGTGCAGGCAACAAACTGGAATTTCCTGAAGGGCTGCAGGCCAGTGGCTGACTGCTGTCCCTTTTGCCAAGTGGCCAAAGCAACAAAACAAAGGGCTCGTTGGCTCCACAACAGGAGTACGCCGCTGGCTCAGGGCGAAGTTGAAGACAGGTGCTCAGCCTGCGTGCCGCCACATGCAGAGGGTGGCCTGTTTGTGTCAGTCACGTCCTGGCAACCAAGGGACACTGTGGTGACGCCATGGAGCCAGCCCTCGACACATGTTTCTTACGTGCCTGAGCCAAGAGGTCTTGACCCATATCTGTCCCAAAGGGAGGTTCTGTCCTCTCCCTCTTGTCTTTCCTCTGTTGGCTACTTTCAGCCAATTTTTACTCATTATTTTTATTGTCTTGGAGTGCTGGAGATTGAACCCAGGACTTCGCACAAGCTATTGGTTCACTCTTTTTGAAAAGCATTCCTTGGGCCAGGGAGATGGCTCGGTGGAATAAGTGCTTCCCTGGCAAGTGCAAGGGCCTGAGTTCAATCCCTGGTTCCACCAAAAAAAAAAAAAAAAAAAAAATTGAAAAGCATTCCTGCCAGGTGTCTGATGCCTGTAATCCCAGCACTCCAAAGACCAAGTTAGTAGATTGCTTTGAGTTCCAGGCCAGCCAAGGCTACATAGCAATACCCTGTCTCAAAAAATGAACAAACAATGAAAGGAACCTGCCTGCTTCCCAGCAGGAGGGCACTCTGGGGGCTCATCACTGTCAGTGAGTGCTTTTGTTTTTGGTGGAACCAGGGATTGAACTCAAGTCCTTGCGCTTGCCAAGTAAGCACATATTCTACTGAGCCGTCTCTCAGGTCCCATGTCACTGAGTGCTTTAAGTGTCACTTACCATCTGGAGCCCCCATCTCTGAGGACAGTCACACCCCTAGAGCTGCTCAAGGAGTCCTGCCCTTCGGTGAGCCCAAGCACTGCTGAAGAGGGTGGGTTCCCAGGGGAGAGGAGAGGCCAGCAAACCGCATCCCTGGAGCCAAGGAAGGAGGCGCCACAAGGGCAGGGTTGGCAGGGAAACCATCCTGGTCAGTGTGCTTCATGGGAATGATAGGCTTACCTTCCATCCCCACTGACCACGTGGCTTGCAGGAGCCACAGATTCTGGACTGGGGCTTTCTACATGAGATAATACAAATTCTGTGAGCCAAAATAAACCCTTCCTCTTTAAAAAAAAAAAAAAAAAGAATACATGAATTTACCTTTTGGTGAAGGGAAAATATCTAATTGAGATCAGCATACTGTAATCCAACCTGGTGGATAGCATTTCTTTTAAAAGGAATTCAGTACTTTAGAAAGTGTCAGCATGCAACAAAGATGCATTGTTTTATGAATTATTAAAAACAAATTTTTATGATAGGGTCTCGCTACAAAGTTCAGGCTGGTCTTGAACTCACCCTGGAGCCCAGCCTGGGATCCAACTCCTGGCAATCCTCCTGCCTCAGCCTCCTGAGTGCTGGGATTATAGGTGTGTGCCGCCACCACCAGATATTTTGTGAAACTTGTCTGACATGTACTCACTGACCGCGCTACATAGCTGAACACAGATTCCGCGTCACAGTGCTATGGGCTGTTAGACAACCTGAAGAAGCCTCACCCTCCTCCTCTCCCAGACGCTGAGGATCTTGTCCTGGCGGGCTGGGCACTAGGCGAGCTCTAGAGCGCCACCACGTGGAGGCCTGAGGATAGAGAAGCTTCTCGTGTGTCCTGTATTCAGCCTGGCCCAGCTGTGACCTGCAAGGGGCCAAACACCTCTTGTCTCCTAGACCTCTGTTTTTCTGGTTTCAGAAACTTTTTGCGCACACCCGTAATCCCAGCACTCAGGCGGCTGAGGCAGGAGGATTGCTGAATTCAACACCAGCCTGAGCTGAATAGTCAAGTCAGTTTGGACGGCTCTGAGACCCTGTCTCAAAATAAATAAATAAATAAATAAATAAAATAAAAAATTAAAAAAAAATTTTAAAAATCTATGTTCGCTCTGGCACATAGAAAGCATCTTTTAGCATGATTTTGCAGTGGTCTGCACTGGCTATTTGAAAACACTGGTTCACTGAGTTATTTGGTTCTTCCAAATGTTGACACTTTTCACTGTAGATTACTCAAAAAGTCCCATTTGTTACTAGTCCCACCCCTCTGTATGGAAAAATCTCACACATGCTGGGAAACTGACAGACCCATGGTCATAGGCACAAGTTTTCCACAATTCTAATTTTTGCTTGAAAGCTTGCATTTTACCCCTGGTAACAAATAGGTCCGTTGTTTTCTTTGTCACTTGGTTTCCTTTTGAGAAGATTTCTGCCAGATGCCCAAGTGCGAATACCCATGGGCTTTCTACCATTTGTTCATTGATGAAAAAAATGAGTTTCAGGAAAAGAGCGGTGGTTCAGCCCACAGCTCTGTCTCCCACGAGCTCTCCCTGGAGACACGAGCATCGCACTTGGGAGACGGCCAAAGAGCTCCGCGCATGCAGCCCACTCCATCACGCCCAACAGTAAGAAGTAGACCCGAGGGCTGGCCTTGGAGGAGACGCATTTGTACTGTGACACTGAGGACTTACTTCAGGGGACTTGCCTTTGTCCCCCAATGGCATGGGGTGGACAACGCGATGGTGGCTAGGAAAGCCGGTGCCTGTGCCATGAGCCATCCTCAGGCCCCTGAAGTTCTGTCCATCATTGCCTTTGTGATTGTCACAAAAGCAATGTCACACACGCGTCAACACAGTCAAAGAGGCTGCTGTCACCACAACACTGTTATGGAAATAGCCCAGACCCCAGGCTCTCCTGAAAGTGAGTGGGCGTGCCCGCACCGCCGCCTCCCCCTTGGGGAGCCGCTGCAGAGAGGGTGGTGTAGCTCATTTAGCTTGTGAGAATATTCAGCCCTTGCCTTTGGCCTATGGCAAATAAAACTTTTTCCTTCCTTCCTTCCTTCCTTCCTTCCCTCTTCCTTCCATTCTTTTTTGGTACTAGGAGTCCAACCAGGGCCTTCACACTGAGCTACATTTCTAGCCCTTCTCATTCATTTGTTTGCTTTTTAATGTATTTGGGTACAGGGTCTACAAGGTCTCACTACATAGATAGGACTCGTAGTGATTCTCCTGTTTTCAGACTCCTAAGAACTGGGATTACAGGTGCCCTGGGGCGGGGCCAGCATGGCAGACCAGGGATTGAACCCCGGCTGTTGCTGTTTGTCTTTTGAGACAGGTTCTCTCCCCATATAGTGCAGGTTGGCCTTAAACTCACTGAGTAGCCCAAGCTGGCCTCAAGTTTGCCTCAGCCTCCCAGGCTGGCATTACAGGTGTGTACCACCATGTCTTTTATTTCATTCTATTTATTTAAATTGAGATAGGAATTTAAGCCCAAGATGGACTCAAATTTGAGATCCTCCTGCCTCAGCCTCCAGAGTGCTGGGATTATAGAAATGTGCCACGACACCCAGTTTCATTTTCAAAACTCCAACCATGTGATTTTTACTGAATTAGTTTTATACAACACCAATCTGATCTTGCTCCTCTGCTTGGTGGCTGAGGAATTAAGGCTCCACAGCTGAATGACTTACCCAGCTAATTCACCCAGCTGGCAGTTAGTAGCAGAACTGAGTCTGGAACTCAGGTGTGCAAGATGGGGTCAGGGTGTGTCAGCTCCCAGGCCAGAGGGATGCTTGTGCATTCCGCTGCCGACTGTGCCACTCTGCGGGCTTCATGCAGGGCCCCAATGGTGGGGCACAGCGCTCTCTTCTCCAGGGCAGAATCCAGCAGCGGGGTCATCATGCGCAGCACATGCATCCTTCTCCACTCCACTTGCAGCCCACGCAGGACCTGGACACTCCGGGGTCTTCCTACCAAGGGAGAAAAAGCAAAAGGGAGAATTCTGCATACTCTCCTCTAGAGACTGCCAGGCCCCGCGGTTATGCTGAAGAAGCAACTGTAGGAAGGAGGAAATCCTGCTGCCAGGAGGCAGATAGAGGAGAGCTAGGTCTCATGGTGCCAATATACAGAATTTCCCCTGGAAGAGGAAATGAGTAAGACTTGTTGCTCCTGGGAGCCTTGGGTTGGGTGGAAAGCGCTTCAGTGGGCATCCTCCGGTAGCCTATTTTATAAACTTTAGTGCTTATTTGTGTTGAATATAAATGTACAAGATGTGATTGAATAAACAGAGTTGAAATAGAAGGGCTTCTTACAGTAAAGTCACATGATCATGAATCTTCCTCAAAATAACTCCACTGCCACACACACACTTGTCCCCGTCCTCATCACTTTCTTTCTTTTTTTGGCGGAACAAAGGATTGAACTCAAGCCCTTGCGCTTGCCAGGCAAGCACTTATTCTACTGAGCCAACTCCCCGGCCTGCATCTCTGATCATGTAAAGGCCTCATGAAGGAGCACTTGGAAACCTGCTGCACAAAGTGTTAAGAGCCTCGGGACCAGTGTGCGTGCGGGACGGGCGTATGGGGAGGCGGGCCACGGCAATGGGTCTTTTACTGTAATGCATCTTTCAAAAATGAAATGTGCCATATTTTTGATCAGCTTGTGTATTCTCCAAAACCATAATCCCTTCCCCAGCCCACGGACTCAGGTGTTCTCAGAGAGGTTGCTTGGGCAGGTGAGGAGAACCACTCCACTTCCTGCTCTTCCTTACTGAGGCAGCCGTAGGAGCACGGGCCGTGCCCAGAGTGCACAAAGTGTCTTCTGCACGATCGCCTGAGTCCAGCGGGTGCCGCCGCAGGAGGTAGCTGCACTGCCCGCCGCCCATCTGTCTTGGAGCTGGGGAGCCTAGCTGAAGCCAGGCTATGGGCGGGCGAGGGAGAGCGCATCCGGACCCCCGGCCCGCCCACCTGGGCCGCCAGCGCTTCAGCCAGCCTTTCTTCTCCCCTTCCACCTGCAGGCAAGATCCTGGTTCACTGTGCCATGGGCCGCAGCCGCTCGGCAACCCTGGTGCTGGCCTACCTGATGATCCACAGGAGCATGACCCTGGTGGCCGCCATCCAGCAAGTGGCGAGGAACCGCTGCGTCCTGCCCAACCGGGGCTTCCTGAAGCAGCTGCGAGAACTGGACAAGCAGCTTGTGCAGCAGAGGCGGCAGGCCCGGGACAGGGACGGTGAGGAAGAGCTGTAGGGCACAGACTCTGGATGGAGAACGACAGCTGAGAAGGGTGCTGGCCTGTGACTTCGTGGGTCACAGAGAAGGGGCAGTGAAACCACAGGTTGATTTCTTCAGGCTTACTAAACTTCCCAGCGTGTGCCAGGGCCAAGGAGGACTCAGAGCCGCCTCCCGGCGGAGTCCAGCACTCTGGCACACCACCGTGGGTAGGACGGACCACTCAGTGGAACTGGTTGCAAGTGGCTCCCCTCTGCCTGTGTTTTAAGAGGGAGGCAGAGAAGGATTTGAAAATGTGTGGGCATTGTGTTGTGATTAAATGTTTGCCTTTACCACAAGGAAAGTCATATTCTTACAAAAAATGATTTAAAAATAGAACTTGACTTTCTAACCAAGAATAGGAGAGCATGCCCAGGTTATTGGGGACCCCTGGGCACCCTGTGACTTTACGAATGGAACCAAGGCAGGCTGGGGACACCATCCCACAGTGCTGCTCACCCAATAGCAGTGGGTGTGGCATCCTTCCAGCACCTAGACAAACTCAAGGTGGTAAACTTTGGCTGGCAGGTGTTGGGCTTTATAGCTAGAGGGGGGATGAGGCATCTTTAGGGTATGCAGACTAAGGAAGTGCCTTTTTTATGTATTTGGTGCAGAGTCTCACTATGCAGCTTGGACCTGCAGTGGTCCTCCTGTCTCAGCCTCCCCAGAGCTGGGATTACAGGTGTGCACCACCACACCGTTTCCCTGGGCAGCTGGGCACCAGGCCAGCCTGGCATGCAGTACCAGGGATTGAACTCAGGTCCTTGTGCTTGCCAGGCAGGCACTTAAACCACTGAGCTATCTCACTGGCCTAGAAGTGCCTTTACTTTAATCCCAGTGAAAGCAAGACGGGATTTGCAGATGTGTTTCCTGTGCTCCGGGCAGCCAGGAAGCTGGGTGAGTCTGGGCATGGGTTTTCTGGCCTGAGATCAAACCCAACCAGCAGGTGGTTCGGTTTTTCTCTTTGGAGAAAACAGTGGTGTGCAGTGATAGTTTCTGGAACTAGGAACCCTGACCCAGTCAGAACCCAAAGAGAGCTGCGGCTGGTGGAGACCATCAGCCCAAAAGAAATGCTACTTGGAAGACACGGAGTGCATAGGGAAGGCCTCTCCCCCTTGGCAGCAGGCTAGAGCCACTTGACCCTGCAGAGACCCAGGGCGAAGACCATGTTTGGTTCAGTTTCCTGGGGCTGTCCAGGAGGCCTCTGGGTTGGGCACCCCGGCCCAGGGCAGCCTGGATCCTCCCACGGACATGGAGGGAGGACCTTCATTGAGATGCCTATGGTAAGATCAGCCTCCTCGTAAACTAAAACCAGGGACACCACAGCGGAGTCACAAAGCACAAAGGCGAAGCTGGCAGAAATGGAACTATGTCACGATTGGCCTGTCTGGGTACAAAGACTGGAAAGTTCCTGGCGAACCCCGGACAGGTGCCACACTGGACAGTGGCCAGGCAGGCTCAGCTGTGGCTCTCAAGGGAGAGCACCATGAGGTGTTAGCAACCCAGGACCATGGAGCTGTTCAACGCCTTGAGGTGGGGTGGCAAGAGATGCTGCCCCAGAGCATCCAGGACCATACTGACCCCAGTGGGGCTCCCCTGAAGGCATCGGCGGCTCCCTGTGTCAGCCAGTTATCTGAGGCCTGCTCTGGTCGGTAGGCAGAGGCAGCCAGTGCTTCCCTTTCCATGAAGCATCTGCAAGGAAGCACATTTTGGCCCTCCCCCCATATATCTTCCAATCCTGCTGGGCAACAGCACAGACCTCAGGGATAGTGTGGTCTCCTCTGGGGACTCCCAGGAGCTGCAGTTTTTCCAGTAGCACTTCATGTCTTCACAAGTGAAATGTTATCGAGAACTTACTACCGTGCAGTAAACAGCCAGCGTGTGGAGGGCTGATGTGAAAACCAAAGCGTAGGCTGGGATAGTGTGCTGAGGGAGAGCTCCTGGGATGGAGGAAAGCGGGGAGCGGGGTGGTGGATGAGGCCACCTGAAGAGTAGGGAGGAAGCAAGTTAGGTTGAGGCAAGATGGGTGAGGTGACAGAGGGGTGGAAAGGGGTAGAGAGCCTTCCTGCTAAGACAAACCACTAGAGGGGGTGGGGTCAGCTGTTTCCAGCTCACTCTGGAGCTGGGCACGGTGGTCTGCACCCGAGTCCCAGCACTCAGGAGCCTGAGGCAGGAGAATCATGATTCATATAGCCTGGGCTCCACAGTGATTTCAAGGCCACCCTGGACTACATAGCAAGACGCCATCTAAAAACAAACACAACAGCCCCCTCATAAACAAATGCAATCGCCCTGAAAGAAAAAAATTCACTTTCATTGTAGGATGGGGAATAAGTTGTGGGGGGTGAAGAAAGGAGGCACAAGACGTCAGATTATTAGGAAAGGGGCGGCCTGGGCCAGGGGACAGGAGACTAGTGGCAGGGGTTGTTTTGTTACTAGGCAGGAAGATGGAAAGGACCTGCTAAGGGTGAAGAGCAGGACTTGGCTCTTGGAGCTTAGTTCTGAGACTGGTGCTGGAAATCACCAGGTCAGAAGTCATCCCTGGGCTCCAGAGAGCAGTTTCTGGCTGTTATTTAGGGCTGGAACTCGAAGTCATCACAGTAGACATGTGGTCGGGGCTCACTGTTGCAGAACATGAATTTCTGCAGCCAGGCACGGGTGGCAGGACAATCCCCCAAAAAAGAGGACACAGAAGAAAGGGGACATTAGCAAGGCCTAGACACAGAGAATGGAAGACAGTACTTATACCCTGTGACCTGTTGCTCTCTGGCAACAGTCCTCATACTCTGGGATCTCACACTACTGTAGACCTAAAGTCCTTCTGTAGACTGGAGGCATGACTGGCAGGATGAATAGGTAGACCTGTGGGAGGATTGGTTGTAAGAACTTTTTTCTTTTTTCTTTTTTTTTTTTTTTTTTTTTTTTTGCAGAACAGAGGATTTACCTTGCACTTGCCAGGAAAGTGCTTATTCTACTAAGCCATCTCCCCAGCCCCAAGAGCTTTCCACCATGTTCTAAAACTGGGGAGGGCTCATGGCCCACATCTGGCCAGGTGTGCTCGGGCTGTTAAAGGGAAGTTGGCAACTTGACAGGTGACCCCTTGTTACAACTTTTAGAGTAAGTGAAGGACACACTACTAATGGTTTTCAAAATGTGACATGTGAATGAACCCCAATTCACTGATTGGATTCAGTTCCAGTGAAGCTACGCTCCTCTCTTCTGGGGTCCCTCGTGTCATGTACAGAACTGATGTCCCTAGTGGGATCACCTGGGTTTGGAGGGCTGGTGCTCTGGGGCCACCTCAGCCAGGCAGTTTCTCCCCTAGATATCCCCTTTCTGGATGTTGGGCCTGCAGTGAGAACCAAGGCATCCCAGAGCTGTGCTGGTGTGGGCTGAGAAAGCAACTGATGGCGTCCACAAGCTCCCTGGGGCTGGTGAGCGGGCAAGGGGTGGGAACGCTGGAGTCCTGACAGCCTCAGCCCTGGGGAGGGGGCAGCACAAGAGAAAAGGGACCCTTTGGCTACAACAGCCCCTGAAAGGTGTCTCACTGGAAGTCCTCCCTCACCCACTACCGATACTACCCTACTAAATTTGCAGGTGCAGAGAGAGGAGACCAAAAGGGAAATGAATCCAGACCGACAGGGCCTGGGGCTGGGGAAGCCAGACATGCTAGCGCGAGCAAGCTGCAGCTCCAGGCTGGGATGAGCTGCGCAGAGTCACTGGGCTGTATGGAGCCGGTGGTTGCCACTTGCTTGGCAGAGCTGTGAGCACACGATGTCACGTTCAGATCACAAAGAGCCACCTTCCCACAGGTGTCCAACTCAGCACTCTAGACTCGTTACTTAAGTTATTGAACGTTTTCATTCTTAGGCAAGGCTTTCTCTGAATCCTATAAAATGTTGGTAAACAGTTTTTTTCTTTTAGTCTGAAATTTAGCCTCTACAGAAAACATACAATCATTCACAACAAAGCAAAACTTTCACACGTTTTTAAGGGACATAAAATTTCAAACATGCAATCCCAAGTTGGGTGCATGCGCGACCACAATCCTATGCTCAAAGGGGAGTTGATATAGACTGGACAGGCGGGGCAACTGGGTATCTGCAGGATCTCTTTGCAAATGAAGATCAAAGTCAAAAAGAAAAAAACAAATTCACTTTATTTTAAAGACAATGATTGGCATACAGAAGGTATGCACTAGCATAAAATAAACTTTCATGAAAAGCATTAAAATCCATTATAAATTAATTTATTAAATAGGTATTTGGTATATGTGATGGTTTTATTAGATATTACTCTTATTTATTGCCAACCCCTCCCCCAAAGTCAAAAACAAATCAGAAAAATCTCATAACTCCAATTTACACTAAATAATTTATTTTCCCAAAGTGTGTATGTGTTCTGAGATGGGACACATGATACAGTTCCATTGGTCATTCTCTTATCAATCATAATATGACAGGACACAAGAGGCTAAAAATGGCTCATCATAATTTATTTTATGTTAAAATGTACAGCTTTTTTTGTTTTTGTTTTTTGTGGTTTTTTTGTTTTTTTTTTTTTTGAAGTAACTGACTAAAAAGAGAACAGATAAATACAAGAGTGTTGCTGGCTCCTATTTTATACAAGGGTTCCGCCTCTCCTGCTTGGCCCTCACTGTCACCCTGTACAGGTACAAAGGCTACAAAAAAGGAAGCAATATAAACAGACACAAATAACTTTTTTGCTTTTTTACATGCGATCTGTAAGCTTAGTTTGAGCTATTCACAAGCTACTTCTCTATTTTTCCTTAAAAAATAACTCCAATATTTTATAAAGATAGAAAAATCTACAGATGGAATGAAAATGTAAAGTTAGAGGCATTTCCATAAAATAGCAACTTTACACCAAATTCACTATTTTTTTTTAAATTCTGCCAAGTATTTGGACATATATGAAATGTTTCAAAACCTGACAGATAAACACTGAGATATGCTTCATTCAATAAACAGAAGTCTGCATTTATAAAACAGAAAGCTGCCTTTTTCCCAAAGAAATCTGTCACCAAAATGGAAAAGGGTCTCAACTTTACACCAAACAGTTAGCAATAAAACCCTTTTGACTAACCAAATGGGAATAGCTTTTATAGCTCTTTACAGTTTTATAATTAACAAAAATATAGTTTTTTTTTAAACCCTCAAATTAGGGTACCCTAATCAAGGCAAAAAACTTAAGAAATGGCTTACTGTTAGCACAACACTTGTACAGTACTACAAAATGCACTGTCACTAACAAAGACATTAGCGGCATGCT